GCAGAAGAGGACTAAAAACAAAAACTATACCGTCCAAGTTATCATTTCCACTGTGATGAAGGGTCAGCTGAAATCACATTACCTGCATATCCATCTAAAGCAGGGGTCTCCAACCTTGGCCACTTGAAGCCTGGAGAACTTCAAGTGGCCAAGGTTGGAGACCCCTGATCTAAAGCATTTTACTTCAGCTAAAACAGGCACCCAGGGCAGCTTATTTAAAACCAGTAAAGCAAGACAGTCCTTGCCTTTCGGCACAATCTAAGTGGGAGGACAGGAAAGAGGATAGAGGGAAGAAAGAGACAAAATGCCAATTCTGGAATATTATACAGAAATACTTAATAACCTGAATGGAAATAGCTCAGGAACTGGAGGTAATGTTTCAGCAGAAATGAAATGATCTTATTTTTCCCATTTCCTCTGGTTGGTTGAATAAAAATTCTAAAAATTATTAAAGAATGTAGTGTTGAAAGTAACGAAGAGAGACTTCCATGTAAGAAGTCCAGGAAGACAACTAAAACTGCCGGTAATAAGAGAAGAGGGAGTCATGGATTTGTGTCAATATGAAATATTTATCCTGAAAATGAAAAATTATTCAGTTTTGGATTAGTTGGACTTTTTTTATTAATTTAAAGAATATATTGAAAACTCTATCAATGTACTTGATCAGTTTTTTTTAGCATTTCTTGATCTATGTTGCTATTTTGAGAAACATGCATTAAATTGTCTTTAAATGATTGCAATGGGATACTTGTTTCATTTGCTGCCATTAAATGCAAGAGTTAATTAGCAACTTCCTGAAAGGGAAATAACCTTAAAGGAAGAGAATTTTGGAAGAGAAGCTATTGAAGAAGAGGGAAAGACTATTCACACTGGACAGTAAAAAAGAAGGAAAACAAAACAGTGCAATTTAAAATGCATTTTAAAAGTCATTTTATAATTAAGCACATAAGAGTAGTTCTGTTGATATGCTTATTGAAAGAGAAACAATTTCTTATAGTATGCCGTGTATGTTCTGTTCCTATAACTTTACTATTAAATAAAGCTTTAATTATTTATTGGATTCACATACTGTACTAAGTGATAAAGTGGTCAGTACAGTTTCAACTTTCCTAATATTGTCTGAATCAGCCAGTTGTGGATTATTCTGTAAATCGCAGTGAAGAAAGCTTATTTATTTATGTGCATATTCTGCCTTGTCTCATACATAGAAGTGTATCTCAATTTATTAACCCACCATTGAGGTTGGCTGTGCAGAGGGAGAATCATTGATTCACTCAGCTGGCAGGTATCGCCATCAAATGAGACAGGAATCTTGGTCTCTCCAGTTGCAGTTAATCATCTTCTATATACCTAGCACAAAGAGTGAATCAGCTTTCTGTGAATATCCGTTGGAAACCAATAAAGCTGTTCCAGGTTCCAAAAGAAAGATTTGAGATGGCCTCACAATCAGAAACAACTTTTATTTTCCATACGCCATTTAGGGACTGCTGTTTCCAACCTAACCCCTTCTTAAACAAGCCTTCTGATGAAAATATTTGCAGACTGCCACAAATTGCTAAGACTTTCCTTAAAATGGTCAATTAACTACTGTATATCAGACTATACATTTTCTAAATGAGGAACTGTCATACATTGCTTGGTGTAGACTCAGCCCATAGATTTGATAGTCGTTGTTTGCTTAGGCATAGGGAAAACGGAACTGGGCAGAGACCCCTTGCCATGAGTCTATAAAGTGGATAAAACAATGCTTCTCTCCATGAACAGTGTTTGCAGTCTTCTAAAAAAAAAATTCTGCCAGCTTTTTTCCCTGAATATGGTTTTGTTTGATAAGTATTTCCGATCATATTAGTAGTGTCCGTGAGAAATGGGAGTAAAAAGGGGGCTGAGGCTTCAACTGCAGCTGCCATCTTTTCTTTTCTTTTTTCCCCACTGTAGTTACGTTTCAGACCCAAGAAGACGAAGGAAGGAGAGGGGAATTTTCCATGCCTAAATCTTGAGCGGAAGAGCATGTAGATAATGTAGAGATAGTCATAACTTTAATTACATAGTCATGTTTTGTAGAAGTAGGGAAAGCAGGAGGTCTGCTTTGTTTTGGACAGAATTCGTGGGAATAGGTCATTGTTAGTTCATACCTAACAGTAGGTCATGCACCATGGTTTACAGGGAGTTTTGCTAAGACAAAATCTAACAAATGTTATTGCACTGTGAAGATAGTTCTGATTTGACAGCACCAGCATGTTTTCAGTTCCTATGAAGTCTTAGAGAAGCGTGTGGGTGTATGCACACACAAGTCCCAGTTGCCAAAAACAAAAGATTTATGAATATTATTTACTTTATAAATTGTGCTAGATGAAAATTATCTTAGTAACAGGAATTTCCCCCAAGGTTCTTTTCATAATTTCTTTTTCATTTTGTACCTGGACGTTTCTATAAATTATTTCCCGAGCTACACTGCAACTTTGAATTTAACTATGACCCAACTATATTTGATGGTTACAATTAGAAACGTGTTGATCTCATACTTGGCACAGTCATTCAAAACAATTAGAATTTGCATTATGTGATTCGGCTTTAATAATAAATACTATTATTAAAACAAAAAGATTGTGGTCAGTTTTACTCCCAACAGGTTTTATTCTTGATTTATTATCTACAGACTCTCAAGGAATATAATTAGCGCTTTTAAAATTATAACATCATAAATTATAGAAGAATATGGGCTAAGTATTCTCTGTTTTTGCAGTAAAGGTGCTCTATGACATTTCTCTTGAGTTCTGTTCTTAGTAACTCATTGAGCCAGTTGGTTTTTTTTAAATGAACTTGAAATAAAAAGATATAACTGTTCTTGTGCAAGAAAGGCAAGATATGTTTTGTGGATAGTGTCAAATGGAATTTAACCACTAGATGTCACTGGACTTACTCATATGTGGGTAAATTCAGTGTTTAGTGTTTAAGTGATTTTCCCCCCTCCAGGTCACAGAAAAATGATAAAATCTAACCTTTATGATTTCATAGCTGTTCATGGTTAATCAACATGTGGATGTTTGTTGCTATAAAATATATTAATGGATTTTCTTTCTTTTTAATGATTTAAAAAAAATAAGGTATTTTTATTTAGGATAAATCTGTCCATGGCCATTAAAATCTGGATAGAAGTTACATGTTCATCAGGAGTTCACTTTGGAAATGCCAATTGTGCAAAAAAAAAAGGGGGGGGGAATCATACTCTTCATGTTGTCTTTGAGGACTCCTAAAGACAACTGGACTCTTAATGAAACCAAATGCAGGACTCCTAAAGACAACTGGACTCTTAATGAAACCAAATGTAGGATTAAACAGACCTTTGATTTGTCCCACCAGAGCTGCTCTTATGTTCGTATATGACTGAATAGTTCTCCAAAACAGCAGTCGCCAACTGGTGGGCCATGAGAAAATTTTGGTGGGCCACAGAGAAATCTCACCCCCAGAGCACCCCACTAAAGCAACTAATCCAGGCTGCGCAGAAACACAAGGCTGCGCCGCCCACATTGCCCGCGGGAACCCTCCCCACCCATTCACTCCTTACCCAGCAAACTTGCCTGCTAAATTGCAATTTTTCTTTTTTTTCCCCCCACAACCATCATCTGTTCTACTGTGCCGGGAGATTTAGATTAGCGAGAAAGCTGGAAATGGTGGCATTTCTTGCTTTCTAGCTAGTCTTTAGATCTTCGCTCTGCTTTTAAGCACAGCTGAACCTCCCTTAGGACTGAAGGTTCTATTATTCAGTGCAGACTCATGACAAGCAAATTTTATGTGACAGACTCAGGTAGCCGGTGGCAGATAGATAGATCATTGAATGATTCTGTGAGCAACTCAATCTTCCTGCCTGCTTTGCCTGATTTTGGATAAAAGTTGCTATTTTTTTATAAAAAAATCAATATTTATATAAATATTTATAATATTTACATACAAGCCATGCCCAGCCAGTCACATGACCACCAAGCCACAACCACAAATTAGGCCACGCCCACAGAACCGGTTAGTGGTCCCTGGGATTTAAAATTATGAGTTTGGTGGTCCTTGAGGTCCAAAAGGTTGGTGACCGAGATTGGGTCTAGATTGATTTGTAGAAATCCTTTGAATAAAACCCTAAGTTTTCTAAATCATTTTTTTTTTAAAAAAATATTATTTAAAAATAATAATAACATCCCATCCTGTGGCACCTTAAAGATCATCCATTATCTTATAACATGAGGGCTGGAAATAATTTTGTTTCTGCATTTTGATAGTGGTACAATGTTACTTTTAAATTTTGGACTCAATTTTAGCCAATTTGTATCTTATTGAAAATAGGAAACGCCGGTTCTCTGTTTTAGTGTTAAATGACTTGGAAATCTCTATCGGTTTCTTTGGCAGGAAACCATTTTATTTCTTTCTAGTTTCCATAGTCTCCTGAGGTCAACTTTTGATGCTGCTAAGCAGAACCAGATGACATTGACAAAGTTGTCCTCTACCCACCTCCCAATTTGGCTTCATTTTTTGTTGTTATTTTGCATTTTGAAGGAATGTTGAAGAAAAAGTTAATTTTTATCCATTCATTCCCTTTCATTATCCTTTGCTTCTATTTTAGCTGATCAGATCAATTCATTCCAAACTCAATTACACTATGCTTCAATTTTGATGGATCAGATCAATACATGCCAGACTTCAAGCTTCCGTAGATCAATAAAGTGCTCCCATGTTTCTTTTTCTTGCAATTCAAGGTAGGGTGACAGTTTAGTTGGTTGAGATTTTTGTCTGATTGTGAGAGGCAGAAGTAGAATTGAAAACATTTTGCTGCTGCTAGCTTAGCTGGTTTGCAGCAGCCTTCTAGCACAGTTAATGGCCTGATTTGCATTTGTTCTAGGTTCAAAACAGTTGCCCTCAGCTTACCCTCCGAGCATCCCTTAGATAGGAGACTTGCTGTTAAAAGGAAACGCAGTGCTCTTCTGGAGGGTGTGTACCTATGAGAAACAGGAAGCTGCTCAGCAACTGCCTGTGTAAAGTGAGTTCTAGTGCTGGTCTGTGCAGGTGTGCTAGCCACACTGCTCCACGAACTTTTCCCAAGCATCTTGGCAGCTGGGCTGCCATTCAGCAGAAACTTTTCTGAGGGGTGAACAGGAGAGAGCGGAATGACTACGTTGCAGTTGAAAGAATTATCTCATTCAGGTCTATACAGGAGAAGACGGGATCGCCCAGATAGCCTGGGTCTTCAGGAGTTACCTGAGCAGAAGCTAAGGTGAGTGGTAGGAAAAAATGTATTAATGGTTAACCGGAGCTCAGCATGTTTTATTTTGGCAATAGTTTCAGCAAAAATAATCACTACAAGTCGGCGGATTGTAAGAATGTTAGTTGCAAGACGTGCATGATCGGAAATAGTCACGAAGCAGATAATTTTGGGTGGAGTTAAGAGGAAAGAGTATTTGGAAAGCAGCTCATTAGTTTGTTCATTAACCTAAATGCTACACACGTACTAGCAAGTGACAGTACAAAGTGGCCACAGACCTTGGATTACAGTTTATTTTTCTTCACAATGTTTTAGTTTTGGGCAATATTTTAAAAATAATTCTTAGTCAGCAAAACACAGTTGCCATGAAAGAAAGACTTCCTTTAGGGAGCTGAATGGGGTTAATCTATTATTCAAAGAGGGGATTTTGTTTTTTAAAAAGATGTGTTACTTGTTAGATCATGCTCTTCTTTTTTTCTTTCTGGATTGGATATTTTTGTTGAAATGCTTCTGACAAAAGAATGCAGTAAAACCACTTACAGCGGGAAGATAACAAAAAAAAAGTAATATTTGTGATATGGGCTGGAGTCCAAAAATTGAATATCTTTTTTAATGCAATATTATTTTTTCTTCCACCAACGAATACACTCTTTTTAAAATACTGACTTTGAAAATATAGGTCAGTGAAAATCCTGTTACTTTTTAAAATGAACTCAATGTTTTAGATTTTAACTAGTGCCCTTATCTTACAATTCAAAAAGAAAGAACTCTCTGAATAAATGTTATCAAAGGCATCAATTAAAAAGAAGGCTTCTGGATGTCTGTAGAACTACAATTTGCTCAATTCTTTACTGTCAATAATAAAATTGCAGAATTGTTTATGGTATGGAATAAAACAAAATAGCCTGTAAAAATAAAAGACACTCATTAAAAAAAACAACCCTGCCAGTTCAGAAAAAGGCTTAGAGGATAATAGCTGATTAACTGGAAGCCAAAACCACCAGCCCCTAGAAGTGAAGGGAGTTTTTTTGTAGTCAAATAAGCACCGTCCACATATGAGAGATGTCACACATTTTGGGGGTTCCCAACATAGCTTAATATACAAATAGTCCTCATTTACCAACTACTCATTCAGCAACCATTTAGAGTTATGACATTGCTGTAAAAGGAGATTTACAGTTGTCCTTGAAGTTGTGGCCTTCATTGTATCCCTGCAGTCATATGGTCACAATTTGGTTGCTTGGTAACCAACATGTATTGACAGTCCATTGACTTCACTTTCTCTCAGCTTACTCTCCTTCACAGGGTTCTTGTATAGATAAAATGAAGAGAGAACTAGAGGAAAAAAAGTAGGATTTAATTCTAATAAGTGAATAAATAATGATAGGCAATCCAGGAGCCTTGAAACATGATAGATTCAGTTCTTCTTCAGACTCAATCAGATTGGTCAGTGGCAAAGAATTATGGGAAGTGGCATTCCGGGGTTACTGTCTTGTGTTAGACATATAAGAAAGACCCAGGTTCAAATTATCACTCAGCATAATATCATAAGATTTGCTATTTGTCAGTTTTATCTTTATTTTTTAGAGGAGAATAATAATGATGATTTTGCCAACCCAAACTCTTTAAAGAAATGGTGGGAAATATATAGCTTACATGGGAATTTAGATAAGCTTACTTGTATTTTGTGATTAATATTAAATCAATTTTCAAAGCTGTTTTTCATTATGAATTGGTTTTTATTGCTCTCTTCTTTGGGTTTGTTTTTAAAAATGAATTACTGTAGAAATGGAACATATTACAACGTTGTGTGTATTTCAAAAATTAGAATAAGAATGATGTTACAGGTTTTTGGGGGACATTGATGTGAACTCTCAGATTTTATATTCAGGTCAACATTTAAGTATTTAATAAAATACTTGTGGTGCATCTTGGAAATATTCTGCAGTTGCATTGATTATCTTTTCATTTCAGTTAGTGTTTTGGGGAAAAGATTACCGGTAAGTTTATTCATAAAACTTGTGATTCCTTTTAGCTATGATTTTCCCTTAAATTCAACAGTCTACCTTCTTTGAGATACATTGCATCCTAATTACAAAGTAATACATTTATAAATAAACATGTGCAATTAACTATGTGCAGTTCAGGAAACTTCTGTTAAAACTGTATTACAAGCAGTTCATGCAAATTGGCATGCTAACAGAGTTGGCTGCCAAAGTGTACAGGTGAAACTCGAAAAATTAGAATATCGTGCAAAAGTTCATTTATTTCAGTAATGCAACTTAAAAGGTGAAACTAATATATGAGATATACTCATTACATGCAAAGCAAGATAGTTCAAGCCGTGATTTGTCATAATTGTGATGATTATGGCTTACAGCTCATGAAAACCCCAAATCCACAATCTCAGAAAATTAGAATATTGTGAAAAGGTTCAATATTCTAGGCTCAAAGTGTCCCACTCTAATCAGCTAATTAAGCCATAACACCTGCAAAGGGTTCCTGAGCCTTTAAATGGTCTCTCAGTCTGGTTCAGTAGGAAGCACAATCATGGGAAAGACTGCTGACCTGACAGTTGTGCAGAAAACCATCATTGACACCCTCCATAAGGAGGGAAAGCCTCAAAAGGTAATTGCAAAAGAAGTTGGATGTTCCCAAAGTGCTGTATCAAAGCACATTAATAGAAAGTTATGTGGAAGGGAAAAGTGTGGAAGAAAAAGGTGCACAAGCAGCAGGGATGACTGCAGTCTGGAGAGGATTGTCAGGAAAAGGCCATTCAAAAGTGTTGGGGACTTTCACAAGGAGTGGACTGAGGCTGGCGTCAGTGCATCAAGAGCCACCACACACAGACGGATCCTGGACATGGGCTTCAAATGTCATATTCCTCTTGTCAAGCCACTCCTAAAAAACAAACAATGTCAGAAGCATCTTATCTGGGCTAAAGCAAAACAGAACTGGTCTGTTGCTCAGTGGTCCAAAGTCCTCTTTTCTGATGAGAACAACTTTTGCATCTCATTTGGAAACCAAGGACCCAGAGTCTGGAGGAAGAATGGAGAGGCACACACTGCAAGATGCTTGAAGTCCACAGTCTGTGTTGATTTGGGGAGCCATGTCATCTGCTGGTGTTGGTCCACTGTGCTTCATTAAGTCCAGGGTCAACGCAGCCGACTACCAGGAGATTTTGGAGCACTTCATGTTTCCTTCCACAGACGAGCTTTATGGGGATGCTGACTTCATTTTCCAGCAGGACTTGGCACCTGCCCACACCTGCCAAAAGCACCAAATCCTGGTTCAATGACTGTGGGATTACTGTGCTTGATTGGGCAGCAAACTCACCTGAACCCCATAGAGAATCTATGGGGCATTGCCAAGAGAAAGATGAGAGACATGAGACTGAACAATGCAGAAGAGCTGAAGGCCGCTATTGAAGCATCCTGGTCTTCCTTAACTCCTCAGCAGTGCCACAGGCTGATAGCTTCCATGCCATGCCGCATTGAGGCAGTAATTGCTGCAAAAGGGACCCAAACCAAGTACTGAGTACATATGCATGCTTCTACTTTTCAGAGGTCCAATATTGTTCTATGTACAATCCTTGTTTTATTGATTGCATGTAATATTCTAATTTTCTGAGATTGTGGATTTGGGGTGTTCATGAGCTGTAAGCCATAATCATCACAATTATGACAAATCACGGCTTGAACTATCTTGCTTTGCATGTAATGAGTCTATCTCACATATTAGTTTCACCTTTTAAGTTGCATAACTGAAATAAATGAACTTTTAGGCTTTATGGCTGCACATTGAGAAATTGCTCTATGCTGAATACAGCCCACAGTAGTGTTCCTTTCGGTGTATACAGTAAATTCAGAGTTTTGGGTCATTCTTCAGGAAAGCCACAGTTTGGGTGAGGTTGTTTCTTAAAGAAAACTTTGATAAAGGCCTAACTATGGTGTAGGGTTTATCTCTTAAAAAGGATGGATGGATGGATAGATGAAGGATGATAGATAGATAGATAGATGGATAGATGGATGGATAGATAGATAGATAGATAGATAGATATATAGATAGATAGATAGATAGATAGATAGATAGATAGATAGATAGAAGACAAACAAACAGATAGATAGATTCCACTGTATTTTTCCTCCTCCCCCTACTTTAAAAATGCCTTTCTGATGCAAATTGAATGATCGCACTTGAAGTTCAATACAAGTTGCCACTAGCTTTGGAGTTAAGACGATTTCAATGTAGCCTGTTATTAGGATATGAATTACAGTTGTGCCTTTAGGCCTTATCTGAGAGCAGGAAACCACTATTTTGGAAGGGGTGTGTATGCATATGTGCAGACAGATATTCTAAGAGAGAGAGAGTCTTACAAAAATAGACGTTTCTGATGTGGCCTTTTCAATTTCTCTTTTAAAAACACTAACAGTGCCTGCTTTTTTCCTTGTATTACTGACATTCACTTTTGATTTATGTGGTTGCAAAGCCTGATTATATTTATTATATTTCTATTGCTCAAAGGCTTGAGTAAATGTAGGGCATCACAGCCCTTCCTCCCGTGTCCTCCCCTTACTTGTCCTTGTCTTTACCCTTAGCATGTTGTTTAATCATCATCTTTAAAAATGCCTTCAGAGTTACTCACTAGACTGGCCCCAGAGTCTGCGTACAGTAGAAGAAATTGCACTCTCTGATATGACTGGCTGCCGTGCCAGCAGCAGATCCTCCAGCCACGCTGAGTTTGGTCACTTATGATGGGAAAAGTGTGCAGGAGGTAACACATCCTCCTTTCAGATGGAAGAACAAGTATGTGGCAACAATACCTTGAGTGAAACTGGCTTATCTCTCCCGTGCAGCACATTTTATGGCCTATGCACCTTTAAGAAAAAGCCAAGGGTGATTGATAGATTGACCCAAAGAAGTTTTTGAATATGAAGTTAGAAAAAAATGCATGAAGAGATGCCTGAGAGTCTACATATATTATAATTCTGAAGTGCTGTTCTGATCCTGGA